CGCAATTTGTTTCTTGGGGCGGGGGGATAGAGCATTTGCTTGCAGGCTTAGGTTTTGATGTTTAAGAATATTTTTACGGATCACCTCAAAATTGTGGGATTCTGTATTGAAACATAACATAACATTTAAACGTCAATGTAATGTTTGTTATTAAAATTTTGCGTATTTATTTTCTAATCCCCCCCACAAAGAAATCCTGGGTGGAGGGATGTGACTGACTTGTACCCTCCCTTTTGTCGCCCAAGATTGGGACGGAAGTGAATTACAGTGGTTTACGTATGTGCTCAGAATAGCTCGAAATGAAATATCGACTCCAGATGTATAGAATGTTTATCAATTGCTGACTATGAACTCTTGTGTACGTGTATATGCCACCAAGTTATTTTACTTGCTGACAACAATGACAATATATTTTATTATATCGTATTTATATATTTTTACGACACTTCCTACTACTAGTTATTTGTGGATTATTATGCAAGCTACGGTAATAAAGGGGAATCACTGAAACTCTTTTAGACGTTAGTAATGAGGTTGGTCTAAGGCTGATCAAAATGGAGATTAAGTACTATGTATGTCCAAGTTACATGCACCACAGGATGATTTTGGATAATACACCCTTCGGAAATGTGATACATTTCAACTGTTTTGTCACTTGACACGCTTACTTCCGTCTGTAATGCAACTTCATTTACAGTTTATCCTTAATTTAAAAAGGATATTAAAATTACAATTAATTCGGCCTTATTTGGCCATCCTCAGGAAACTGTTCATTTTTTGAAACAGCTACACTGCATTAGTTCATAAGCTAAAATATTCCAGTGTTGATTTCATAATATGTATCCTGTTGTGTGTCATTCAATTTTTAATAATAATAATAATAATAATAATAATAATAATAATAAGTGTATAATTCGACTCCCAAATCTATACGCTAGTGACAGGCCATAGCAACACATACATAGTATTTATTTTTAATTATTCGATTTAACATAGATAATAACATAAATAAAAACAATATAGGTGTATATTTTTTTGATCATAATTTGAATTAAGGATTGTGATATTATAAAACATATTAATGTAAAATATTTATCCATATTAATGCGTTAACATATTCAAAAACTTATCACTATTTTTTTCATGTATACCTGAAGATGACATAAAGGAATGTCGAAATATGTAGCACTAACATCTGCACCAATAAACCAATGTTGATGCTGTAGTGTCTAATTCTTCTCGGTTTCAATACTTTGTTGTGCTGACTGTTCCATTTATATTTTTCTTTATTCTAATGTTATTGCATTCTCGTCGTTCATATTAAAATACATTTGCTTGAGAGCATCGCTCTTTATCTTTACTTCCGTTACCTCCTTGCGACGTCCTCATTTTTTTGTGTTATCGTTATTATTTTCATGTACAGTGCTCTTTCGGCATACTGTGTTAACATAATTTCACGCGGCATGTATGGAAAAATGGGTAATGTGCCGTAAAATATTCGAAATTCTGTGCACTGAACGGGATGTACTGCCGAGAGCTCCTGGACTCCATGTGGTATCCATTGTTTATGTAACATAGACGTAGCTGTGGTGTTGGTTCCTGGAAAGTAGGGGAAATAATATGATTAATGTAAGCAGCATGGCCTGCTTGTATCTGGGATATATCTGCCACCGACAGTGGTTTATTCTGTGTGTTTAAATTGCATATTTTTACTGCAGAGTTATGAAGACCATGATGGATTTTAGAATGATGGAAACTAGGGGCTACCGCCGACTGCATATTCTGAGCGAACTGAATTCAGATTATGAGGGAAAGAACAGAAACAAAAAGGACAGTGGAATAGGCCTATAGACATTTGGGGGAAGAAGGGGCTATGTGAAGAAATCAATACTTATGTATTCAATGAAGTCTTCTCGGACGATCACGTGTGTCAATATGAAATTAGTTTCGGAGACTACCTCCGAAATGATGGATACTCTTCGTATTATGGTATTTGGACGCGTTGCTAGGCAACGACCGTGAAAGAAGCAGCTATACAAAAACCGTTACTGATTAACGGCTTCGCAAACAAGCATGCTTGCACCGCAACAACTGGAAACAACATAGAGACGGTGTTTTCTGCGCGGTCCTTGCCGAGACAGGACAGTTAATGAGAGTCAATTGAGAGTCGATAGTTGGAGCAATGAGTTAGTTGTGAAGCAGTCACCAGCCAGTGAGAGCTTGAGGATGGAAGCGGAGGACATTGTTGGGATCCATCACCAGGCAACGGCTGATGAAGACACAGAAAACTCATAAGACATTGTGTGTCCTATGATGATTTTTGAAGAGTAGTAACTAGTTGTATAAGTGTGTAATAAATCTAATTAGCAATCCAAAACTCGCCTAGAATCACATCCTGTCACGTGACAGTATTCAAAGACAGATCGTAACGATAGACTTCATTGCGCATGATCACCGTCAAAGATTCAGATTATGTATGGTGTTTATATAAACTTACAACAAGTTTGTGAAAAAGGTAAAAAGGTAAAATTTTCCCTGCACTTAATTGAGCAGCACGCTATGAAGACGTATGGGGGAGTGAATGTATAGCTCCACCATTCTTGACCTCGGTTCACGCCTTGGCCGCTTTAACCCCGAAGAAATCGCCCCCCTCTGTGCCCATTAAATAAGTGGCTGGGTAGGCCTCAGAGACGGTCTGGACGCTGTGGAATACAGAAAAATCTTTTGTCCCTGCTGAGAGTCCAACTCCATCAGTCCATCCCGTAGCCCGTCGCTATACCGTTCGGTGAAGATCTCCACTAATATGCTATAAGTTAATTTTGATCATTAATTAGTAAACAAAATGATATATGTAAAGCCAGTGAAGTGGTTGGTAATGGTGATTCTTAATCAGGAGGTTCGGAGTTCAAATTACAACCCGGAGACCGACTATCATGACAGGTTTTCATGGATTTTCTCAGTACCTACAAGTGTCGGGATGGTACCTCAATCTAGGCCGCTATTACACGTATTTCGAAGCATTTCGAAAAATGCGAAATTTCTGGTCCCACACGTTGACTAGGAAGAGTCTTATCTCCTGGGATGGTACCAGTCTACGCGGTCTAACACCAGAAAGGTAATATTAATTAAAAAAAATGTTTCAAATTAAATGCACATATCTGATAGCATAGTCGGTATTGTGACTGGCTACGGGCTGGAAGACTGAGGGGTCGGGGTTCGATTCCCGGTGGGGTCAAGAATTTTCTCTTCTCCACGTCGTCCAGATCGGCTCTGAGGCCCATCCAGTCTTCTATCCAATGGGTACCAGGAGCTCTTTCCTGGTGGGTAAAGCAGCAGGGACATGAAGCTGACCACTCATCTCCAACTAGTGCCGAGATCAAGAAAATGTGGATCAATTCATCCACTCCCCCATACGCCTTCATGGCGTAGTGCTAAATTAGTTAAGCACAGGGATAACTTTTATCTCAGTAAAACTATACACGTTGAACGCTAATTTTTATATTACATAAGTTTTCTTAAGGAATTCGACAAGTTCTAAGAATGTATTTTCTGATGTGACCCCGAGTATTCCGGTAGAAATTTCCCGACGTTTCGGAGGAATTTGTTACCTTAACATATAATGTCGAAGACTGAGCCAAGCAAACAGCAAGATTCAACGAGCCAATACGTTTCTCCAGGCAACGTGACGTCACATCTCAGAAGACAGTGACGTCACATCCTCGAATCAAGTACTCCGCGTAGTCACTGCCTGTGGTCACTCCTGCGAACACCCAAAATCCAACAAGGTGAAGTTCATTTGCGCGCATGCGTACATTAGTGGAGCGAGCGATCACTATTCTTAGTTTATCCTATTCACCTCTTGAAAATTAAACCAGCTGTGCTTTCTTTGCAGTCCAATAGTCCTGCAAGATGGCAGCATATCCATTTTTAACCCTTAAATTACAGTGTACCACCTGCATTTATAAGCCGGGATAGCGTAATCGGTATAGCAACTGGCTATGGACTGGATGACCAAGTCCCTGTAGGGTCAAGAATTGTCTTTTCTCCAAGTCGTCCAGACCGGCTCTGGGGTCCACCCAACTTCCTATACAATTGGTATCGGGGGTAACGCGGCCGAGGCGTGAAACTGACCATTCACTTCCAATTAGTACCGAGGTAAAGAAAATGTGGACCTATACATCCACTCCCCCATACGCCTTCATGCCAGAGTGTTTCATTAGTTAAGCACAAGGACAACTGCACTTTTACCTCCTGCTTTAAAACGGAAGAGAACTCTGAATTTGACAACAGAGTGCGTTTATGTGTTTCATGTAATTCTTAACGATAAACGGTGACTATTTCCCGCGGTCTGCGTTACCGTGTCTCACGGTGTTGTCGCTTGCAGATTTACCTATACTTTTTCTTCAACCCTGAAGATGGGGGCGATACGTTCCTCCGAAACGTCGGTTAACACCACATATACACGGCGCCAAAGCCCAGAAGACTGCTTTCTTCATAGTCACCGCCGTGAAAGCCTCAAATCTTACATAGGTTCGTATGTTTTCTGTTAAGTAGAAACTGATTTTTTGTTTATATGAACTTAAATTTTCAAAGATAATGTCAGCTTGGCTCACGCGTTTCAGAGGACAGTAGTAAAACTCGACACTATACAAACACACGCCGTCCTAAACTTGACTGTAACAGCATTTCTATAGATAACTTCTTTACTGTTTCAGTTGCATAACGGATATATATGTTGCGATTCTGTTTACTTCTCTGTGAATTTGTATAAGTTTGGAGCTCGTAAAATATAGATTGTATTGTCTTTGTTGCATGTTGGTGTGTGGCTGATCACAATTTATCTGTTCCGGTTTAAAAACTATTTTTTTTTTCTTTTTTGGTCAGTCTAAACGCAGGTTTTACAGGCGCCATTTTTCATCTTAGCTGAACGCACTAGACTGTAAATCTTTCAGTGAATAGCTTGTATATTGTTACTAAACGAAAGTTTTGTGGTATTTCAGATCGTCAGAGACCCGTCTCGCTGCCGCAATGAGAGGCGGAGATACAAAATGGCCGTATGTAGCGCGAACTGGGTGAGAGAAATAATAATCATGTTTCATCACAGACATCTGTGGATATAATCATATCCTGTTCTGCTTATTATCTTAAAGATGTGCATGATCCTGCATGTTTAAATTTCCTTGTTTTATGGAAAATAATACAATTTTCATTCAAATCGCTCTAATTTCCAACATTTCAGTTTTTACACTGGCTAATGTTAGACTGTGAAGCAGGAAATCAGAATATGATTATGTGATTCACTTGTAGTTGTATCTCTTCTTCGTATTTTTCACTGGCCCTGCAACTTTTTTGGGTCTTAGCCTCCTCCGTGGTAACCCTAGTGGATTCATAACAATAATTTTTTCCGGACTGGAGTCCGTAGCCCCGCGCTCAACACCGAACTTGGAGGATCACTACTACACTTCGTCTGGCCCCTACTCTCTGACCTGTCTGGCATGGGTGGCTCTAGCAGTCATTTATAGGTTGAAAGTAGTGCTGTAGGTATAATGTTAAGTTTCGACACGTTAAGGTTTCAGCTGAACAATTGTTTCCCCCCCCCCATGTTAGTTCTGCTAAACGTAGAAGTTTATTTACACAGATAAGACCCAATGCCTAACCTTAAATTTCGCCTCAAACAACGTGTCAACGAAGTTAGGATTTGCATTTGTTTTTACAAGTAAACTAATTAATGGTTGGCAGTGCTAACATGGCGGACAACTTTTAATATTATTTGGGTCACCTATTCATACTTAAGTACCAGAAGTTCTTACTTGATTTACTTGTCAATTACTGAATATTGTCACGTGTTGGGCGTATAACGCGACAAATAACTTCACGCCGTATTTGATATAGCGAATTTTATTTCACATTCGCTCTTACAATCACCCAAGTTACAGATTCACAATTACTGCTATCTGTAGTATCACAAATACTACACTCCAAATGCCAGAATACAACTGACTGGTTGCTGGCTAACTCGGAACTAACTCGGAGGTAGCTCGAGGACTGACTCGTAGGTAGCTCCAGGACTAACTGTGAATAGCCTTCGCTGCTCCTCATGTAGCCTCGATCGGACAATACAGAAAACGGCCACGTAATAAGCACCCTTGTTGCCTGGCGCTGTGTTGCTAGCAACGCTAGCGGTAGTAACCGCTGTTACTACCGTCGTCTCTCGCAATCCTGTATACCCGCGCTGCCTAACAACCCGCGGTACCCTTGGTGACGTCATCGCTGTTGACTCGCGTTGCATAGCGACCAGGATGCTAGGACTCGGCTAACATCGGCTCACTTCGGCTTCGCTCGCTGCATCACGGCTGGCGGGGGGGAGGGGCGTCATCCATAGCTCAACATGTCACTATGTTCTGCCTACAAAATTTCAACAAAATTATTTGAATGGTTAATGGGATGTATGGTAGGAAGTTTTCTCTTCATCACTGTGTCCAAATTAACTCTGGGGCCTATTCAGTCTCTCGTCCAGTTGGTAGCAGCATTCTTTGCACGGAGTTAAAAGGGCTTGAAGTCGACAGCTGACCTTCATCCAATGCCAAGATTAGGAAAGCGTGGAGCTTTACCTTTCTTTCTTTATGAGTATTTATGGCGTGGTGTTTAGATCCTGGTACAGCTCACTCTCTATATTGACGCTGAACTCGTCACCCAGGTGTTTACTTATTGACACTTATAAATAATTCAAGTAAATTAAACAAAATCAGTTTGCTGCGTCAGACAGATAGTGTGGCATTTGTATGTCTCGTCAGATGGGTAGCTAAACCTGTGTGGAAACTATTTAACGTTTCATTTAGTATGTCTTGTTAGCTTTCAGGCACTCCTTGATTCAGTGGGAAATGAAAAGCTTCCTCTTAGCAAAACGTGACCTGAAGAGGTATGTTCTGACCGCAGAGCAGTGGCGGTCCCCGTGGGTTACATATTTACATGTAGCTCATCCAGATGAAGAACCTGTTTCAGAAGTTTTATGTAGAATATAGTGACCCTTTTATGCCCATATCTGTTTTAAATTTAATGAGAGGGGTGAATCTGAACCGCAGATGGGGTTAAAGATATTGTCACATGTTAGGGTGACTGTAGACGGGGTTTAGATTGGTGAACAGATCGTAACTAGAAATAACTATAACACTATCGTCATGATGATAAGCCGTTTAAGATTATTTTGCTGAGCTTCTTAGGGCATTCAGGATGGAATGTATTTTTAAATATTTTTAATTTTAGGTAGTAAAATTTAGTATATTTCCTTTTCAGTTTCGAATTTTCCAAAAATCCAGGGTGGGGGAGGACATATGCTGAGCTTGCCACCACCGCCTTCCCCATGAATGCGTATATATTTAAAAATAAATTTCGATCTCCAGAGAGAAGAACTCTTCTTGATAACCTGACAGGCACTGAGCAAGTCAAGAAATTCCTCAGATATTGCAGAACTTGGAAGGTTCATTACCGTGTTCATAGGAACCAACTATGTTGTGTATTAGACAGTTCTCTGTGAATAAACTGGCGAGTAGAAAGTGTTGTCTTCTTGAAGTTGGCGTGTGATACTGTCCGAAGCTCTGAATCGCTTTTGCGCTCGTAACATCAAAACATGAGCAATGTAAGATGTCGAACACCGGTTCGTCGATATGTAAATGGGCACTCCCACCAGCAGAAAACTTCCGTTCCGCATCATATCAGAGGCATAGGCTCCCTCAACCCTGCCGTTTAATTTAACTGAGGCAGAAATCCTTTGTTTGAAATCTGGAGTGGCGCGAAAAGATCTTTTAGTAGGAAATGTTACCACTCCCTCCGGTGGAACTATTATCTTTAACACGGGGTTCTGTGACAGCGGACTCCAGAGCCGAAGGAGGTGGCTGAGGATGTAATAATTCTGATTTATATTTGGGGATCTCATGGTTCGAATCTCAGCTGGCACATGTATTATTTTGACTGAGGCTTTTAGTGATTCCCACCAGCCCTTCAGACAAATGCCGGAATATTATCTCAAACGAGGCCACGGTCAATGTCTTGCGCACAGTTTTCAGTTCATTATTCACTAATCATACTGTCACACGTATGAGTGGTTCTCGACGGGGGTTTTGAGTTGGATGTTGGATTTATTGACCCTTTAAGACACAACTCATAATTACACTTAATTATAGCCGGTAACTGATTCTAACAATAGATATTCCACTGCTTTCGTGCTCAAGTACTCTAACCTTGTCCCTTGCTTATAACATTTGGGTACGAACCACGTAGAAAACATCGTTTCTCTGTTCCATGCATATCCGTTTCCACGGGAAAATTTTTACTGAGCCGTTCCTTAGCAGCGGCTGTCTTGTCTTGCTTATTATGATTCTGCGGCCTAGCAACAGGCGTTCCGTTGTTTGTTTCATCGCCGTTGCCTAGAAACGAATGCTGTGTCAGAGCCATTCGCTAGCGACGGCTGTTTCTCTGGATCAACAGTTCTTACTTTAAGCAGTCCTGCTGTAAGTCTGTGTGGTGTGCTGTTGTGGCGTCGTTAAACAAACCATGCAGCAAATAAACATAAATTAAGAGAAAACCAGATATTTTGTTATAATCTTAAGCTAGTTTCATATATTTCTTACCCCGTAAACCCCATCTACTTCAGTGTCATCTTAATTTTATGTTTATGACTTTTCCACGGTCTACCAAGAGGTTTTCCAACCGAAACTATTTTCCACATCAGAACGCAGATTCTTGTAAGACCTGCAGTCTACAAACGTCCATTGGTAGTCTGTAATACAAATTCTAATTGATCGGAAATTAAAGAGAATTAAAAAGAGTACGGGCTTCTGTAACACCGCTTAGATCTGAGGGACACCGGAATTTCGGAAGAACATATCGCTTCCATCTTCAAAACCGAAGAGTAAACCACAGAAGAAACCAACAGACACTGGCAGCAAGCTTGTCGCCTGCTTCTGCTGGTTTCTTATTTATCTTTCTCTTTGACCCTGAAGATGGGAGCGATATGTTCCTCCGAAAGGTCTGGCTGTCTCCGAACTACACGGCATTACCGCCCAGAAGTTCGTATTCCTCATATTAACCTCCGTGAAAACCTCAAATCTATTGGATTTATCTAAGTAGCGCAGTTGGTATAGTGATTGGATTCGGGCTAGACGACCGAGGGGCCGGACATCGAGTCCCGGTAAGCTGAAGAATTTTCTCTTCTCCACGTCATCCAAACTGACTCTGGGACCCACCCAGCCTCCTATACAATTGGTACGGGGTTAAAGCGGCCGGGTCTTGAAGCTGACCACTCACCTCCAACTAGGGCCGAGGTCAAGAAAAGTGGATCTGTACATCCACTCCCCTATACGTCTTCATGGCATAGTACTTAATTAGTTAAGCACAGGGACAACTTTACCTTTACGTTTAAAATCTAAACGCACCGTTCCTACTGGCATTAGAATGAAATTCTTGTACCGCACGTTGCTTCTTACGAGCCGCCACTGTAGCAGTGTCTAAAGGGGCCAGCCCATAATGTGTTCTAGACGCAGTGGAACGCAGCGTTACGTCTGTTAGGTTAGGTCAACATGGAAATAGTTAGTACGTGACAAGAATCGTGTTTTTGTCCGGATTATATTGTGCTATAAGCTTCCAAGTTTTATTTCCAAATAACAGCGCTCTCACGGACATACGCACGAACTCCCATGGCCGCATGCTCTGAAGAGACGTAAAAGAGCAGCCAAACCGCCTATTGCTTTCCAGTGTTAAGTTTCATACCAGTTATTGAATGGTCGTGTTGTATGAAGGGATACATTCGATAAGACTGGAACATTACAACTTACTTTCAGCAAGTTTTGTAGTTAGTCGTTAATCGTTGTTTACTTTAGGAATTATGTTGAAATATTTTAACGATCACTGAGTTGCAGCTAGCCTCCAAAGGCAGACTTTGTTTAAAACTTCTTTGAGGGCACATCATACCTTGAGTAAACGTTATGGATCCAAAGTCCCTGTGTGTTCAGTGAGATCTCCGGTTTGACGATTTTGGCCCCCATGCCTTGTTGAGAATAGAATCTAGTAATTCTTC